TTAAAGCAATACAAAAGTAATTGTTGGACCTAAAGCATTTCATTTATTGTTTTGGCCCCCATTTTACTATTGTTAGACCTTAAGCATTTCATGTTTTGTTCTGGCCCCAATTTTACTAGCTTCATAACATTACTTCTGCACAGTATCTTTGAGAAACTTGTCAAATGCAAATATGCATTAAAGTCTTATTTTTAACATTGAATTCTCGCTTTCTTAAAATTGAAATAAAAATCTGTTTTCAAATAACATTTCCCAAAGTAGCCATTTTTGCACGGCCTGCACGAAATGACGATTAAATACTTCAATTCTGCCAGTTCACTCCTTTTGGTAATTCGCAATAAACTATAACAAAAACACAGCGTGGCAAAAGCTTAGGCCTAGAAGTAAAAATATTTTACGTTTTTTAGCGAAAGTACCGTAGGCCTATTTTTATTTTTATTCATACACTAAATGATTGTTGGAAAAGCGAACTTGTCCAGTATGTTGTGTTTTAAAGGGGGTGTCAGTACCCAATGTTCCCCAATATGTTCCCCAACACCGATGTTCCCCGAAATCCTTAGGATTAGGGTGAGGGTTAGGTTTCGGTATCTGTTAGATTTTTTTTTTTTTCATTTATTGCGTTTTATTTCTCGCAACATTGTTTACATTTTTGAGAAAAACACACGTACTAAATACATAGTTACATTATATTACATTAATTAAAATAAGATCTTACAAAAACTTATTCCAGAAGACTTTGTTTTTCTTCTGTAGTTAAGCTCTCCAATAAAGTTCTCGAATGAAAGTGTCAAAAGTGTTGATCCACTTATTGTCTTGATATGTCTTTAATCTTACTTTAAATATGGAATACATTCCTATTGTTATAATCAAATTTATTTCAAATTCGAAAACAAGGATTGTTACTAAATTAAACATTTTTGGCAATTCAAAACAATGTTTTGTTATCGCTTGGTAATACTGAGCAAATTCATTCCAAAAGTTTAATGTATGTACACATGTCACGAAACTATGATTGTAATCAGCAATCTCGTTACATAAGCAACACAACGGATTATTTACAAGTTTTTGGTTGGTAGTATGCGGTGTAGAAATTTGTAATTAAAATTTCTTAACTTAGCTTCTTTTATATTTATAGTTTTGTGTTTCCACACAGAATTCCACCCTTTTCATCAATTAAAACCTTGTATATTTCTTTAGTTGTAATATTTTCTAAACAGCTTAAAGCATCATTGATGTAGACCTGCCTTTCAAAGGAGTTTGGTTTTTATTATTTGCTAGGGTTCTTAAACATTCTTTTGGTATGGCCTTCTTTAATGTGTACATTTCTGCTAACCAGTTATGTTTCTTAATTAGTTTGTTTCTGATGTACTCAGTTGACAATTCACCATTTTCGGTCAGAAGGTCATTAACGTAAATGATGTTGGATTTAATCCAGTTGCTTAAATACAATGGCTTGTTTTTATACTTTTTTTTAGTTATTACCCCACAGTATTTGTGTTTTTACATTAGTTGGCTGTAAATCAATTTGTACAGTCTTTGTTGAGTTTAGTTCCTGCCAACAAAATATTAACTCTTTAGAAAATTGTGGAAGGTTTAATGTAATACGTGAACAGCACTTAAAATTGGACTGAAAGGTCTTGGCAACATGAGTTTAAAAATAAATTGCAAAGGATTTTCCATTTCCCAATCTTATTGTTTAACAATTTAAATACCCAGTTACATTTAAGTGCTATATTATGACATTGGATGTCAGTTAGGTTAAGACCACCTTCGTTTAAATTGCGAATCATTGTTTGTCTTGAAATTTTGTCTGTTTTGCCATTCCAGATAAACGGAAACACTAAGTTATCTATTTTCGAAACATACTTTTGTGGGGTTGGAATAACAGATGCTAAAAAAGTAATTATTGGTATTGCCAGGTTATTTACAATTGTTACTCTTCCTGGTAATGTCAGATGCCTTCTCTTCCATTGATTAATTAAGTTCGCACAATTTATCACCTTTTCTTCCCAAATTAATTCATAACATTCATTCATATTATTTCCAAAATAAACGCCTAATGTTTTAATTGGTTCGGGCTGCCAATTTATAATTTCTAGAAGGTTTTGGTCCAGATCAATGTTACTAATAAGTAGTCCTTTTGTTTTTTGGAGGTTAAGTTTTGGTCCTGCAATTCTTCCAAAATTGGTCACAATATTGATGGCATTTGTAATTAGTGCAGAATCAGATAAGAAAAGAGTTGTATCATCTGCGTACATTGAAATACGTAAATCTGTTTTGTTTGTTATTTTAACCCCATTAATTTCTTGGTTCATTCATATTCTATTCGCAAGAACTTCTGCAATGATTAGAAATAACAGTGCAGAGAGAGGACATCCTTGCCTTAGGCCTCGTTTTAACGTAAAAAATTGAGACATATGGCCATTGTTAATTATTGTACTTTGAATATTTTTATACATTGTTCGGATCCAGTTTATGAAACTATCTCTAAAGTTGAATTTCATCAGCGTTTTGAATAGAAAGTCCCATTCTACTGTGTCAAAAACCTTTTCGTAATCTAAGAAGAGAATTGCCGTATTTTTGTCTTTCATTTTACTAAAATAAATGACATCATCAATTAATCTTATACTGTTTCCTATGAATCTTCCTTTGATGTAACCAGACTGATCTTATAAGATGGAATTTTTGCGCCGGGGTGATATAAATCAAATTAGGTTTTGCCCTTCACCGACGTTTTTTAAACACTGTATACTCAGTGTATACTTCACTCCCGAGTGAAAGTTGGAAAAAATCACTCGGGTGGGACTCGAACCCACGACCTCCTGCCTTCTAGTGCAGACGTCTTACCACTCGACCACCGAGCTAACGGGATCGGTTGGCCGGTTCGAATCTGATCTTCTTGAATGATGTTTCCTATAACACTTGATAAACGATTTGCTAAAGCTTTCGCAGCTATTTTATAATCAATGTTTAAAAGAATAATAGGTCGCCAGTTTTTTAAATTTGTTCGGTCACCTTTCTTATACCAAAGTGAAATTACAGCACGGCGTTGTGACGTAGGGAGTTCTCCTTCTTTATAACTTCTGTTCATTGAACCTATGAAGAGGAATTTAATTTTTTTCCAAAAAACTTGATAAAATTTTACGGTTAGACCATCTATACCTGGGCTTTTATTATTTTTCAGAGTTTTTAATGCTTTGGCATATTCTGCTTCAGTGAGGATTCCTTCACACTTTTCTTTTTGTTTTTCATCTAGCACAAAATCAAATTCTGTGTCATTTAGGTATTCGTTCATTTGATCAGCATCAACATTATTTGAAGAGTAAAGTTTTTGGTAAAAGGTTTTCTGCTCATGGAGTATTTCAATTTGATCTTTTATTATGCTGCCGTTTTCACTCTTCAGCTGTGTTATGTGTTTTCTCAAGGCATTGCGTTTTTCAAGACCTAAAAAGTATCTACTGTTCTTTTCACCTTCCTCAGACATCTTTCTCTGGATCGAACCTTTTGCCCTTCAATCTCTTTATCATACATGTGCTCTAATGTGCTTTAAAGTTTGTTTATCTCAAAAGAATTGTCTTCAAAATCTCTATTCAAGTTATTTATTCTGGCTTTTATCGATTCTTTGACTAATTTTTCTACATTCTTTTTCCTTTTTGAATAACGGATAGTAAAGTCACTGATTTTTATTTTGCAAATTTCCCATCGACATCTTTCATCTTCAAATTCCGTTATCAGCTCTTCTGACAACTTATCCAAGTACATTTGCATTTTATTTTGAAAAGTGTTATCACTGAGAAGTATCCTTGTCCTCGTTGAATATTGTTTACAATAAATTTCATTGAAAAATCCCTTGGTGATCGGTTTTAATGCCTGGTCGTATATCACTTGATATGACCATAATTATCTACCAGCGAACTGGAAATAAGAAAGCAGTCAATTCTGGTTTTTATTAGTGGATTCTTTCTTCTGAAGGTATACTGATACGTGTTTGGATTTTGGTCTCTCCATATGTCTGTTAAGAGTTTCTTTTTGCAAAGGTCGTTAATGAAGGTTGTATCTCGCTTACATATCTTAATTCCTCCCTCTTTATCACATATGTGGTTTAAAACACAGTTGAAGTCACCACCTAAAATAAGTTCATTATTGTTAGGAATATAACGAGATATCTGTTAGCTTCTGTACAAACGCCTGGTGTGGCCATCGCGTACAGCCTTGTGTATCTATGAGGATAACCGCCAGAAACACCGGGGCGAACCCCTTCTCTTAGCGATAAGTGTTTGCTTGGTTCTTTTACGTGCATTTATACAGCACACTGGACCTACAACTTTACGTCCCATCCGAAGCACGAAGCAATAATGGTTAAGTTCCTTGATCAGGGGCACAAGTGTCCGGGCCCGGGCTTGGACCCACGCCACTGTTGCCTCTGAAACACCAGAGCATGAGTCCAGTGTTCTTAACCGCTAGGCCATCTCACCTAAGCCTAAGTTTAGGGTTAGGCTTAGGGTCAGGATTGGGAAACAGCAGTATTGGAAACATATCGGGGAACATGCACCCGTTTGAAAAAACAACTAACTTCAATCGAGACTTAAGCAAGGGCAAAACATTATTAAACCAATGAGGTACCAAATTAATCGTCTTGGTATAAAATACATGTATTCGCGAGGACAGTATTCCATCTCATGAAACATTAAAAAAAACAAACATACATTTTCTAGATTGATTTAACGACTCAGTGCACCTCTGCTATACAGTCGAATCCTGATAAGAGGAGCACTGTTAATACAATTAAGGACCTGCTTAAAAACAAGAAAAATTCTAGGTCTTAAGTCTTTGTTTTTCTTTATTTTCCAATCAAGGTAATTTGTCAAGTCCCAATATTCTTGTTATAAAGGTGTTCGACTGTAATTGTTGTTGTTTTTTTCTCCCCTCTCGTCTAAATCGATAAATCAAACTAAGTACTCTAAATAAATACATAAAATGTTTTAAAAGGTTTACCCTACCTTACTACTGGCGAATATGAAGGAATTTGGAATCCTTGTTGGAATCTTTGATGTGGGCCTATTTGACTCTGGAAATAACTGCTAGCTGCTGTAACTGTTGGCAAACACCTAGCTTCTACTGAACTCCAAGTTTAAATAAATAAAGTGCTTGGCTATAGTAAAGGGGTACAAAGAAAATGGAGCAACAAAAGGGTGCATCAAGTTCAAAACCTCCCATTCTAATCCCATTAAGTGGTGGGTTGGCGCCGAAGGACAAACTTTGCTTTCAAAAAGTATTTCCACGGATGGATGCAGCTTTTACCCTGGGGATTTTTGACTGCCTGTGGGGCTGTCCAAATAAAATTTACCAAATAAAAATTTACTCTGGTTGAAGGCAAGTAAATCGGTCCAAAATCTTTTTCAATGGTGAATTCGTATATGGCGACTGGAGGATGTCGTTCCACGTTGTGACGTCATGTACGGAGTGCCTGGCTTATAGCCTCACTCGTTTGTTTTCAGGCCAGATATCGAACTGAGAGAATGTTTTTCTCCCAATTCTGTTCTCCCAATGGGGGGGGGCACTTTTTATGCAAATAAGCTCGCGTAGAAAATTTTAAACCCTCACCTATCGGTCTAATTGCGTCATTCGGGTATCATAATTGTGTCTATAACCCAGTAACCCCCCCCCCCACCACCACCACCACCACCACATGGAAAATATATGATTTCTTAAAAATGTGCTCGTTAATTGAGAAATTCAATATCCAAACTGATTGGATAATTCAAAAGTGTCTTTCCCATTTGGAAAAGTTCTTTTGAAAGCCTTTTTTTAGCAAAAGTTTTTTAAAAATAAAAATGACAATTTATTTCATTATTTTGTTTAGAATATACTGTTGCTCTTAAATTGTTGAACCGTAATGAAAAGTGGAGACCACCTGTATTTTTATCTCAATTAATTTTTGGTTCCATTAATAAATTCTGGAAAAAGAATTGTATCATTATGCATGTTTTGTATGTTTTGTTTTATTTCCGAGCCCTTACGGCGTAGGGGCCACAGGGCCAGGGACCCGCTTTAAGGCCCCGGAAAATGTTGGATTGTGGATGCACTGTGATGAATGAAATATACTGAAGTATACTGAAACTTATAAAACCCGAAAGGAATTTTTTGGTTCAAGTTAAAACAACTGGTTCCACTGGAAGCGGATGAATTTCTGTTCATAAAAATATTCACATAGTTATATAACTCACACGAAACGATGTAGCTCTCGATATATTGTTACAGGGAATGGCAAAAATAAAAGACTAAAAGAACAAATACATCTTTATGTTTATGATCGGTAAATGGCAAGTTTGTGGCTAGGCAAGGATTTATCGGTCTACTGAGTTTTATGAAGAAAAACTTGCACAGGGTAAAACATGAATAGCTTTTTTTTTTATTAAAACGGAACTACTGGAATTGGTGTAAAAGCATGACTAGTTTCAATGAATGCCCGTCCCACTCCTATATTATCCTAGTGAACCTTGCTATTTTTTAGTTTTGAGTACCATGAATGCTAGCAACGCCAGTGAAACTTTTAGATGAAAAGAAAAACCTTCAGGGGAAAGGTATGGACGTCATTTGCCCCAATTGAAAGATCGAATGAAAAAAAATCATGGCAAGTATAATCAACTTTGCCATGTCATGGCCGAGGTTATTGCTTTCGGGTCAAAGCTTCCATCACTGCGGGAATATCATAGACTTGTCATGATTTTAGATACCTTGAGAGAAATATCGATTCTACACTGCCTGAAGATTTAGAAAATAGCTCCTTTTGATATTTAACAGTGTACTTGTGCAAGACGTTGGAAGCGCCGCGCTTAGCCGCGGCAAAACTAGAAACGAATAAAATGAAGGAGATATTTGTTGAGCAAGCATAATGTATAGCGTGGCGGCGTAATTTCATCGTCGTAGAACACTGCTGGCTGGAACACATTTTTGCCCGGGAGTAGGGGGTGCTGAAGCATATTCCAGCACTCCAATCCAAAAAGTTGGGGGTGCTGCAGCACCCACAGCACCGCCCGTTCCCACGGGCTTGCACATAACGTGCTGAAATAAGAAAGTTCATTATCCGGACACTAAACTCCGTAATATAAAGGGCCCGGGGGGGGGGGGGGAGCTCGGGGCGCTGATCACAGAAACTGGATAGTCATCGGAGGCCGTATAGCTGGAGCTTAAAATAAAATTTAGGGCGGCACAATAATTGCCGATGGTGGTGCAAAATAAAAAAAAAAGGCTCGTACAAGGCTGCATGTAAAATAAAAAGCTCCCCCCCCCCCCAAAAGGCCCTTTTTTTAAACCCTAAAAGGGCCGGGTTATTTTTTACCATCTCTCAGCCGGGGGGGGGGGGGGGGGGGGGGGGCGGATTCCGCCCCCCCCCCCCAAGATCTCGGCCATCGAGTGACGACAACCTTTGAAACTCAATATATGCATAGAGCAACTCATCATGAACGTCCCCAGAAATTTCATGACTATAGGTCAAAGGGTTTTGGAATCAAGGCTAATTAATTAATTATTTATATGTACGAATGGTAATTCTGCTGTGTGTACATGACGTATATGGGAAATTCAGTTTTTCCGGCGCGTAGCGCCGGATTTTTTACTTATAGGGTTAAAGCACTCTCTACAAATATTGGTGGTGGTAGAGGGGGGGGGATTAAACGCTGGTGAACTTGGACTTGAATAGGAATGGGCAGTCTCGGTGATCGATGGAGTGTTTTATTTTCCCTAGCTCGGCTTCGCCTCGGCCGGTGTGGCAGGTAATTCTGTCCCCCGGTAAAAGTGTCCGGGGGGACAGAATTACCTAGGTAAAAGTGTCCTCCCTGGCCCGTTAATTCTGTCCCCCTCCAGGTAATTCTGTCCCCCAGGTTGTTTTGTCCCCCTCTTTTGAAACCCAGAAGGTTATTGTTTTGATGATTTCACTCTACAAGGTATACATTTTGGACTTTTAGTCTGCCCTTCATGAATATAAAACATATTTAATTTAGTCTATTAGATGATACGTGAACACAATGTTTCGATTCGGAGTACGGTGAAGTCTATCGCGATTATACCGCGATAGGCCAACGGAGCGGCGATGCATGGCGATGGCCCTCGTCTCATTGTTAGTATGATTCAACGTCTCCTTGGATTGGTCTGTGTTCCCATCATAGCGCGTAACGAAATTTCCTATTGGACGAATTTCCATTGTAGAGGGAGACGCATATACAGTATACACATGTTATTATCACTGCCTCAAATCTTGCAGCATGTACTGGATGGCGCGTGCGACACGCTGCTGCTCTCATTACATACTGCATGGGGACACATCTACCAGGGGGACACTTTCACCGTTGGGAAGGGGGACATTTTTACCTGGAGGGGGACAAATTTACCTAGGCAAAAGTGTCCCCCCGGACACATTTACCGAAGCACGATCCGGTAAATGTGTCCGGGGGGACACATTTACCAGGGGGGACAGAATTACCTGTCACACCGGCCGTTCGTGTGCCAGAGATCAGTGCGCGTACGTGCCTAGAGCTAGAGAGGGCGCTAGTCATTGACCTAGAGATAGCATAAAAAGGTACCTAGCTAGCGAGTGGAGGAGTGACACAGTGCCTTGGTCTCATTATTTCGGCATTTTGTCCGGGCCTCAAATTGACGGTATGTACGACAGGTGAACACACAAAGGAGTTTTAAGAACATGACGAAGGCCCTGTGCTTTTATTGTACAACAAATAAGGGAGTCCCAGGGCCGGGGCATTTGGGGCCGCGAATATTTTTCCCAAACGACTTTTCTTTACAATGCTTTAACTTTTAACCTAGACGGTTTGACCATGACATCTTCATGTATCGCATTTCCCCCCCCCCCCCCCAAAAAAGAGTTTTTTAAATATTTTTTTGTTATGAAGGTAAGGTAGCTATGCGTGCTAGCAAAATGTAAATTTAATTATTGACCAGGGACAGGCATGACATGGTTCAAATCCAATATCGGATTCATCCTGCATAGTGCAAGAGGTTGGGCATGTTGGGGGTTTTCGGGTGATGATGGTTGTGGATTCCCGCCAATCATTTTGCATTTGTAGCAACTCATTTTCTTTAACTTGATTTGCAGTGAGAAAGCTGTATCAACAATCATACATAGCCGTGAAGTACAGCGACACATCAGTGCAGTGTCAAAATGCCATCTTTTGCAGGAAAAGTTGTTCTTATTACAGGTAATTTGCATGTAGGCCTACTTGGAGTCCGGCACGGATCCATTTGGGGGTGGGGGGGGGGGGGTTGCGGGTTGAATCTCCTCCACTTCCCCCCCCCCCTCCACTCTGACACCAAATAACCAAATATTATGACAATTATAGTATAATTACCTATACATGTATGACCATCCACCTGTCCGCAACAACAGTACACAAATGCTTAGCCAGTGGGGGTCATGGAGGTATTTGAATAGTATTGTCCGATAATGCCCAGGATTGTCCGGTTTGAACATTCATATATTGAGGGTCCTATATCCATCGGCCTTTCCGTCAGCCTTTGGACATAGGACCCTCTTTTGGTAACTCAGCTCACAGTCCGTTGGGCCTCATAGACGTGCATTATAGTGACTTCATTGCCAGTCTATGGTATATCAGAGTATTATACTGTGAGATAGTATGACATTGAATGCAGTATGTTTTCCACATTTGATCCTTTTCTAGGTGCTAGTTCTGGCATTGGTGCAGAAACTGCAGTTGAGTTTGCTGAAGCAGGATGTGGTGGCCTTGCGCTGGTCGGACGCAACAAGGAAAATCTAGATGCAGTATGTCAACAGTGCCAAGACAAAGGCATCCCAAAGGATAAGGTACATATTCTACAAGTTATTCCACGAGCGTGAGTGGAACACGGAATAATGATGTGTCACGAGGCCGAAGGCCAAGTTGTTTATGGGACATAAACACACTATACTCAACCTAATGACCCGATGAATGTTTAAGTTACTCCCTTAGAATAGCTCCACTCGACATCCCTTAGAATTACTCAGTTCAACTCCAGTCATTCGCTGGTCCATGCCCTGCCCAAGGTCGCTGATGGGGGCTAATCGCTTTGAGCTCTCATTAGATGATTTTTGTTTACCCGATGACCAGGGGTCAACACGTTCTCAGCTGTCATTGGACAAACTGTTTACCTGCTGATGCAGGTCAGTTTTCCGTGTGTGCATGATGACCCTTTCACACAAGATGTACATGTGCACTGTTTAATACTTTCCCTCGTCCCCACCGCCTCACAGATATTCACCGGCACAACAAGCATTGAGCCCCCACAAGCGCCGCTCAGTGACTTGTTATGAGACTGGGTATAGCACACGAATCCACCAGTATTGGTGCTCAAGGTACTACATCATTATTACGCTGCTCATTGGGCCAATGAAACATTCCAAAGACAATCTCAGCTCCCTGGGGAGTATACAGCTCGGTGCAGCCATTTCGGTGCAAAGCAGCTTAAATCAATCACAATAACCATCTCTGCCCTCACAGGTGCCCATTACTCCTGGGTGGAGAGAAGCAGTGAGTTATAAAGTGCCTTGCCAAAGGGCACATACAGAATAACCCAGGCTGGACTCGAACCCACAAACAGAATACCCACATACCACGAATTCAATGCTCCAGACCACGAGGCCACGGCACTCCACAGGTATGCTGTGTCATTTGGGTTGCTCACTGAGCAACTCAAGCCTTGCATAGATCCAAAAACTAACTGCGATAGTTTGTCTTTTTGTCTGTTAGGTGCTAGGCATCATTGCTGACATGGCCAAGGAGGAGGACGTTCAGCGAATCATGGACAGCACTATTCAGCAGTTTGGTCAATTGGATATACTGGTTCGGCAGATTTTCTTTTATGTATACTACATACATCATTTCCCTAAGCTGTCGGTTGTTATTGGGTTGTAACTTCCTCCTGTCTATGTTTCCTAATATAAATATCAAGCCTCTTTCCTAATATAAATGTCAAAGATTTGGCCTTTGAATGTTTTCAATCTAATTTATAAAAGTTAGACTTGCCTTCCTTGTCAAATATCAGCCAAATGCCTCGCTAATCAGTGGAATAAACATGAGCAAGGAATGATTTTTTTGCTTACAGTAAAAAGAGCTCGACATGTCCTTTCCTGTATACAGGTGAACAATGCAGGGATAGGAGGTGTGAAGTACCTGGGTGAGGAAGGCATTATGCAAGTCTACGACAGCGTCATGCGAGTCAATGTGCGCTCCATGCTTCAGCTGACCCAACTTGCTGTTCCCCATCTCATTAAAACCAAAGGTGGGTAACAGGTGTATTTGTGTGGATTCTGTGAGTAACAGGTGTATTTATGTGGATTCTGTGCAGTAACTAAGGACAGTGGTATTATAGTGTAATGGGCTGTTATCCTGAGATTTGGCAATTACCTTGTCTCTTTGTAAACAACACCCTAACTTCTTGACGGTTTGAAGTGTGCACAACTTGTTTTCATTGTTCACAAACCAGGAGCACGTTAGCCGAAACACCTGGGTTACATGTGTGGCGACCTCATCCAGTGCAAAACCTGTAGATGTAGGCAAAACGCTCTTTGTGGACTGAGTCAAACTTCGAGATCAACTTATTATTTTTTGTCATTTGCAGAAATTAACAATGTTGAACTGGATTCATAACCTCTGAAGTCATAAACAGTTATTTTTAGCTGAATTAAGTTTCAAGTTTGGGGTCCACTTGACACGTACAAATCTTTTGTCCGGCTGCCATATACATGTACGTCAGCTTCTTAGAATGAACAATGCATGCATGTGACGTTTTTCCACCGTAGACCCCGCTCTACGAGCGAGATCTGTGGTGGCAGGCCCCTGTGAACCCTAAGAATGACGTCGGAGCTAAATAAATGACGCAGGCTTAACCCCAGTTGATTGGGTGAGGTAATCGAACACACTCTGTCTCACCGTTGAACGGATACTTGTGCTTGAAATCCAATTAAGTTGACCAAAGGAAGTGATTGGAATGGCGCTGATAACTTGCACCCTCAAGACCTTAGGTCCGAGGTTCGAATCCACTCCAATCATTAGATTTCCACATCCAATCATATACTGACATAGTCCATGTGTTTTTGTTTCTCCAGGGAATGTTGTCAACCTTTCCAGTGTCTGTGCCACTAGAACTGTAAGTCATATTAAGTGACTTAAGGGTTTTAACAGTGCTTGAATACATTTAGACATTACCTTGTGTAGACGTTATGTCACGACAAATACGAGATTTGTTGTTGTTCACCTATTGTGATTCCTTTTTTGTACAAAATTTTGACTGTGAACTTCAATAACATCAAATATTGTAGTGTGGTCAAAGAAAGAAATGCATTTATTTCTTCTGTTTTATACCTTACAGCTTCCCATGATGGTTACGTACAACATGACCAAAGCAGCAATAATGCAGTTCACTAAATGCTGTGCACTAGGTAAGTTCAAGTTTAAAGTTGCATTTCAATTGGTAAAGCACCCTTAACTTGTGATGATAGGTTATGATTTCAAACAGAACATTTTGACAGATTTACTGGGCTGTTTTGTTCCCGTTTCTACCTGATGACCTTACAATCTTCTCACGGAAACATAATTGTTGTCAAGAATTATGCATTCAAGTAAAGAATGTACATGTACATTCTTCTGTCCATCCAGGCAAAATCTCTCTCGAAGGACTATTGCAACAGAATTTGCTTGAATTTTATCCCCCTGTGATAATTTTCCATAAATATTAACAAATGTCAAACAGTTCTATCACTCTGTACCGTTGAGTGATTGGGTTCATCTCATCACTTTCTTTGATTGTTTTACAGAATTAGCTGCAAAGCAAGTTCGTGTCAATGCTGTCAAGTAAGTGACCATTCTTTGCAGGAGTAGTAGTCATTGATTGACTGTTGTCAAATAAGAGATTGTTTCAAGGGTCATTAGCAGTCGGTTGACCACTGTCAGTTTAAAAGGTGCTGCTTGTATTTTGAGGTTTTACGGCTATTACCATTTCGTCTGATGGATATACATTTAGGATTTGTGTCGAGATACTGATTGCTTTGTTTTTAAGATGTAGCATGTTTACTGTCTCTGCTGACGGTCTGCCAAGAATGATTATTGGCTGAGTATTACAGATAATTATATCAGAAAAATCCTTCCTTTACAAGGAATTTTAAATAGTGCTGATGATCGTAAATGCAGAATTTATGTTTGTCAGAGCCAGTAACTTATGGGCTCTTGTGTGCCCTATTTTGAAGGAAAACTACATTTGACCTAATTTTGCAGGCTTGACCTCAATGACTATAATCATGTTCTGTTTTGGGGTTATTTTTCTTTTCTTCAGTCCTGGCTCCATTTGGACCCCAGTCCATGAGAGATCTGGTCGTGCTGACTCGGTCATTGAGGTAAGTCTACGATATGTTGTCCACTCAAATCAGAATAGTGTCTGGATCTCATGAATTTGCATGAACCGGCCTGTAGGCTATTTTGGACACCCTGTTCTGTAAATACAAATGCTTCCTAAAAATGAGCTAACCTCAAGCAATTTGGAACTACTCTTTCCATTCAAGGCAAGTTTTGCCCACTCAGTTTTCAAATGCTGACTGAAGCTCTGCACATTCGGGTCAGGGATGTAGTCGAGTCCATCACAAGTCCGTACAGTCTCATGTCAAATCACAAGCTACTCAAATGAGCTTTGACAAAGGCATTCCTTTGTCATTGTTAATCCATTGTCACTTGACACTGGAATTTTGAATGGACTCGTGAATTACTTGTAATTGGACTTGTGAGGGCTTTGTGATGGACTCGACGACATCTCTGGTTAGGGTGCATCATTTTTAAGACTTGGTCCCTTTCACTTCTTGCATTTCAGACTGCCAAGAAGGTCCACGCGATGGGCCGTATCGGACAGACTGGTGAGGTAGCCAAGGCTATCATGTTTCTAGCCTCTGAAGACGCCTCCTTCATGACTGGTGCGTCTCTCCCCATCGATGGAGGCAGGCATGCCATGTGTCCTCGTTAATGAGAATGATGTCCTGATGAAATGGTTCATGAAATGTCTTCCTGGATCGATATCAATAGCTACTGAAAATGAAGTATAAAAGGCGGAAGATCATTTGTATTTGTAACCCAAAAAGTACCCTACTTAAGTATTTTCAAACACCCAACTTGGATTAAAGATCACACTGGTGCTAACACCCCGTGAAATTACTCCGTCTGGCTTGCCATTATAAAGAAGAAACCAAGAAATGGTGGCGATTTCCAGCAATCAGTCAACTGACTAGTTGTTGGAAATAAAGAATTATATAGATGAAATTGTGTTTTGTGATCAAAAGATTGCGTATGGATTGTCACTTTTTTTTTTAAAGTGTAATATCCAACGAGCTGAAAGGATTAGGTTTTGAAACATCTTCTTTTGATTTTGAGTGGTGTTATTATTGAAAACAAAAAAGTGCACGTTGAAAACAAAAAAGAGTATGAAAAGCAAATGGTCCTATATGCCTTTGAATAGGATTGTGACAATACATACTTGGTGTATTTGACCGTGCAGTGAATTTATATTGTAATGTCTGAAAAAATCTTTTTGTGTCATTACAAATATATTAGCACTGAAGGAATTTGGAATTCTCATTGGACAAATATAGATTTCACTTTTAATTTCAATTTTGGACACCATAAACATTGTCCACTCTTATAATTATATAATGTCAGATTTTAAAAAGAAGTAAATATGAAATTATGAAATTAAGCTTTGTATGGTGTATGTTTGGGCATGTATTCATGTTCTCATGGTGTATGGGAAGGCTCTGTCCTTGAATAAATAGGGAAATGTACTTTTACAGGGACAAGATTGCGTGCTTGATCATTTTGTACATCTTTGCGCTCCTTTTTCACTTGGTGGTACTTTGAAATGTTCATAGTGACATTAGCAAACAAATATATGGAACAAAGCAGATTTTCAAACAAGCTTTCTGATTATATTGATAGACTGGTTTTTAATAAACTTAGCAACATAACTATGTGTGGGTCAAATCCCGCTTAAAAGGAACAAAATGCAGTAAAACTTTGACATGAAAGTACTTTGTAAAATCATTTCAAGGAAACATTTTACAAGAGAAGAATATAAAACAACATAAGTCGGGTATTTTTGTCACAAAAGCCCTGCTAGTTTGACACGTGGATGTAGATAACAGTTTACAAGTTAATATACCAAGGGGAAAAAAGACAATTTGAATGCAGATTTTGATCATTATGCAATGGGATGAAATAGAGGCGATGGTAATGAGGAAACAACTTAACAACTGTGTTAATTAAGGCAATTGATTGACTCTTGATGAAGCTCGCTTCATAACCCTTAAGACTGGACGTATGCCACACCATAAGGCTTGAAGCTCCAGGATCACATCGCTGTTTATCTGGACTGCGAGACTGTTGGACGCAATGTGTTTGCCATCATGGACCTCTTGAGGCGTGCAGTTCATGATAAACCACGTTGAATCCAGGCTTGAAGTTAAGATCCACCTTGCCAAGTCATTCTTCAATCTGCCTTTGAAAAGAATGTACAGTTCATGTACATTTGTATATGGAGGGCCTGTCGAGGAGGATGGGCTGATGGGATGATTCTGGCTAGCATGAATGTAACCATTGTTCACAGGTCTAAGCCCAAAGCAAGCTGAATATCGTCAATGGTGGCATTCCTGACTCTGCTCCCTTCTTGAAGCCTGCAATGTAAATTATGTAAATGAAGAAAAATTCATCCTTACAATAAACAAATTAATCCTTACATTTGAAGAGACATTGATCGATTTGGTGTTACTATTTACCGGAAAACACCGGAAAATACCGGAAAATACCGGAAAATACCAAAAAACTACCGGAAAATTACCGGAAAACTTCCGGAAAATACATTTAATACCATTAGCATGGTTAGGGCTGCCGGCTGCAGCTTTGGATGGATCGTTGTCATGGTTGTGTGAGAAAGTGAAATTCTGGATGCAAGTATACAATGACAGTAGTTTCATCACCCCTCCTGCCCCTGATCACTGTCGTGTGTGTGGGTGTGTGTGTGGGGGGGGGGGGGGGGGCAAAGTCCTCCATCATGTCCATGGTTTTTCAAATGGCATCGACCATTCAATGATTCATCAACTTACCCAAGTAAAGAAGAAACGGAACAAAACCAAACTGGAAAGTCAACTTAGCAACCGTCGTGACATTCATCACCCTCTGTCTCGTTTCAGGTTTCAGCTTCATTGTTTTTGTGGACTGCAATTTTAGTACCAGCTGAAAAAATCAAACTCCACTTTACTCACTACTTCCATGCATCGACTGCAACAATGTGCGCATGCGCGCTGGATTATTCTTCATTCATTTTAAGTTTTGCCGTAAATTTCAAAAACAAAATCTTGTACACTTTCAATTTAAATAGTTTTGAACAATAGTTTGCGACGAAAAACATTTATAAAAGTAGATATTGTGTTAGAATAAAAAAAAAAATTTATGATGAATTTACATGCAATTAACTAGATGTTTTGAGATAAACGTAATATTGATATTATTCAAGATGGCGGCGCTCAGTGCGGGCCGCGTGGTTGTTCGCGGAGGCGCAGATCTTGTTAAAAACCGTCCCGTATTTTCGTCAGATTCAAAGTAAGTGACATCGAATACTAGATAATGTTAGGTTCTTCTTATATTTAGCATTTGCCAAAATACACTCCTAAGGATCAGTGTGCGCTGCAAGATGATACTGATAGCTCTACAAAATGCACCACAAAATGCATAGCCATAGGCTAACTTATTAAAGTTATATGACTAAAGAGGGCGCTGTTTATTAATTTGAGTTTGCATTTTCACTTCATGCTCTTTTTTTTCCACTCAGTTTATGATGGATATGTTGTTCTCTTTATTAAGAAAACAGGTCTGCATTATGCGTAGCTGTAGACTCTTGAGCCTTGGCCATTTTTATGGAATTCGTAACAAGATTTCAATGGCTTACATAAGTTACAGTTACCTGGTTACATAGTTAATTATAAAATATAGGATTAGTATGACTACGGGATTGAAAAATAAAATTGCAAAATTGTACAAGTTGAAGTGGTTTTGCACACATAATGTACGTTAAGCCAAATAATCAAAAAAAAAAAAACATGTTTAGCGTCCCGCTTGCTTGATTTTTTTTTTTGAACCAAAAAAATAATATTTTTTTAACAGTGACATCATTTTGGCCACTTTGTGAGTTGCATAGCCCATATGAATCTGGTATGTCATTTCCCGAGTCCAATTGCAGCCATTTCAAAAAAACTGGCTGCCATCTTGAAAAATAGCCTGGTCGGGCGGCCATTTTGGAAGGGAAAAAAAACAGGGCCTCCCGCTTCCTTTGTTTAAAAAAAAAAAGGCAAGACGCCAAACATGTTTTTTAAAATTATTTGGCCCTGGACTAGTCAGAATGTCGAAGGTCACCAAGGTGCGGGACAGGGTTTGATCTGAAATTCCTTTCACAATTTGGCTAAGGTATACTTTAATTTGGCTGAGAATATTTGTGAAAACAAGGTTACAGAATGAAAGATGGATCTGCATCTAGAACTCAGCTTCCTGGAAATTGTGTAAAAAAGGAGTAATGTAAATTGTATTTTCAGGGAGTGAATTACGGACAGTTACGTATGCCTACTCAAGTTTAAGTAAGAGAAAGATGCTAACTTTGTCATAATATGTGGATGATTGTACAGTACATGTACATTTATGTGAATAGCAGTAATATAGCATTTTGTGATTCCTTTCAGATACGTCTTTGTGGCCTCTGGGTACACTGTGAAAGTCTTCAATGTGGCTAGTGGTGATTGTGTGAGACAGCTGAGAGGTCACGATGGTGAGGTCACAGGGGTGGTGGTTAACCCACAAAACAAACTACAGGTAAATGTGACTAGTCGTTACAAGTGTATTTGCAAAAAACAACAACTTAATTTTAGTGTATGAAACGTGTAAAATTTTGTTGTAAAATGCTTTTTTGTACTTAAGATAGTTCATTCTCTCTACGATTCATACATGTAGGCTAAATAGTTTATTTCTGTAAACGTTTTCAGTAGGTTTATTGTAACAAAATTGCATTTACTTTTTATCCCTAAAACTGTAAAATTCTGTTGTCATATTTTGCAGGTGTTCACAAGTTCTACGGATGGGACAATCAACCAATGGGATTACATGGATAGTGTACTACTAAAGGTACTGTATCCCCAAGAGGACACTTGAAAATTATATTTCAGTTTGTTGTGTCTGGGATGATTGGAAATTCTTTTATTCTTCTTAGGCATTGTTGTATTGTTTCACATCTTCACTCCTTATGTACAAAGCACGCTGGTTGAGTGGTCAAGACATCGGAACTAGTAAACAAGAGGTCGTGGGTTCGAGTCCACATTTTATCGTGCAAGCTCTTGAACAGAAACATGTTTCCTGTACTTTCAAAAATTACTTCAGCAAAGGACACAAATTAAAGGTAATGAATTAGTTATGTTTTGATATTCTCAGTAAAATGTTTGATAGTTTTCTACATTTCTGTGTTTCCTCCCCACAGACATTGTATGTCAGATCCCCGATTCACGGTCTCTTCGCGCATCCAGCCATTCCAGATTATCTGTTTGCCACAACATTTGATGAGAAAAGTGGTGAGTTTTGCTTCACAGCTGATGATTTTTGTCAGGCAGGTTAACATCCATTTAAACAAGTTTCTGTTGCACCTCCCCTCTTCCAAAGATTGCCTTGGGACTCTTGGTCCCTCCCCACAACTAGACCCACAGAAAATCTAGTCCCAATAAACCGAATTGGGACCAGCTTTACTAGGGTTATCAAGTCTTGTCGAAGAGGAAAAATTAATTTCAAGACATTCTTTTCAAATCTTGCATCATTTTCACTACAGATAAGAAGTCCCGACTGAAACTTGTCAAGATAGCAATCCCCAAAATGGCTGGCACGTGCGTGGATGTGCAGGATAAGTTTCTATTGGGGAACGTCCTGGCCGGTGACAAAGGCATAGCGTTTGGTGTCGGAGGAGAATTCATTGCCACCGTCAAGGGAAACACGCTCAAAATTTTGTTCATGGAGGACTTAAGCCTGAAAAAGTGAGTACCAGTGGGAGTTTCAACATAAACAATTGTTTCATTCATGTGCATTTGTTAAAATGGTTACCTGTGGCTACTGAACATATTGCAATCTTACTTCACTCATGCAGACTGTCTCCTGACAAAACCCCTCTGACATGTGTTGCCTGCCATCCGGTCGATTACTGTATAGCTGTGGGCGATGAAAAAGGCCGCATCTCCATCTGGCGTAACTTTCACAAGAAGGAGCGTCGAGCGCTCGAGCACTGGCACTCACTGAGAGTTGAGGATTTGTGTTACTCACCGGAAGGTTGGTAAATGCAGACATGTAGCACATGCATATAAGTGTTGTATTCTTGTAAAATCTCGCAGGTTTTTGAGGTCAACTTGCACACGCGCTTTTGCAAAGACCTTTCACTGAATGTTGGTTTTGAAGTAAAGAAACAGGTAAATAAGTACTTTATTTTGAATCTGCTATGCAGGATCAGTGTTATACAGCGTTGGTCATGAGTGCACCCTAGTGGAATGGCAACATGAGTCGTTACAGAAGAAGTTCCTGCCACGGCAAGGTGCACCAATCAACCACGTCACCTGCTCACCAAACAGTCAACAGAGGGCGCTGTCACTCATGACAAATGGTCAGTAGCTTTAATCTCAACACAGTTCCATTAACTAAATTTTTCTTCTGGTTGGTAAAGTCCTTTGCCTTCATACGCACGCGTGAAACATTTCACGCGATTGACTAAATATGGCCTGCCATGCTAAATCTGTTGCCCCAATGTTGCAGGTTGTGGTTTCGAGTCCCAGCAATTTTACATCTCTTTTTTTTTCCCCAGAAGTAATTTTGTTCCTTCAATCGTCGATACATTTTTTTCACTGACCAGCCCTTTTGACTCCTCCCATTAATCTATTCCTATTATTTTCATTGGTCCGTCAGCTATTCTCATCCAATCCCATCAGAAGACGACGCAGACCGTCCAGGGATTGGTGCACACAAACTTCAATCGCAGGCGGGAGGGCTACCTACCCACAGGCCTGGTCATTGATCCCCACACGAGAGCGTTAGTTACCAATGGCATGGTGGGACAGCTGCAGTTCTATCAGCTGGAAGAGGATCGCCTTTTATTTAGTGTGAGGCTGCGTCCAAATCTCTAGTTTAGGGCTGTTGTCTAGGTCTTGTCTGACATTGAAACTACATGGAAACAAGCTGACAATAGACATAGCCGTAGCTCTGGAATCCCGTTTCGGACATGAATGTTTCTTGACCATTACACGCTAGTGCCTTAACCATAATCCTGCCAGACACAACACAGTGCATCATGTGGAAAAGTCTGGTGCACTTTGGTGCATTTAGCTTATCATCACCAATACATAAATGGTACATGTTTGAATAGGATCCAAATCCTCTCAAACAATCAATAGCTGTCAAATAATTTTGGGTCGTATAGTGGTCAGACGACTCTCAAAAGTGTTATTTGGCTATGTTTGAATGAGGAATTGTAAAATATAAAAAAATTTGACTGCAAAATGTCGGAGTAATAAAAATTAAGCAAACCGGAATTGATTTTGGAGCACAATCGGTCAGCGGATGGCTATTATCTGTGCTTTATCTGTCCATGAAGTTGGTCCCTCGTCCTCATATATTTTGCTTTTCCAAACGAACAGCTGGACATCACAGGTGAGAATTACATATCCCCAGCAGACCTGGGACATCCCCTAATGCACACCGAGGTAGAGAAGGTGACCTTTGACCTGAGGGGAGAGTGGATGGCCACAGTGGAGCGAAGAGACGACAAACAAACATCACCCGAGATGCGTCTCAAATTTTGGCAGTTTGATAAGCTGAAACAAAGGTACCGTCATTTTTCAGTTTATTCATTGAGGGGTTAAACACTAGGAAACAGAAATGTCTGAAATGCTTTTGCTCCGAACAAGATGAAAAGTGAACAATGGCAATTCAGATACACACTCTGCAACCTCACAATATCTGAAAGGTGAGTTGATCAAGAAACTGAACCATCAGTCACTTGGAAGTGTCTGAAACTTAAAATGGCCGGTTTCTTGATAGGCTTATGATTCAGATATCGTGAGGTTAACAGAATTGTCTGAAACATAAGTGCTTTGAACAGGTTTACATATCAGACATTCGAGGATATGTTTCAAACATAAAATATCTATTCTTTTTTTAAAACTAATACCAGTCTGCCAGTGAATGTAACTTTTAGAAGAATCTATAAAATAGGTTTAGAAGTATTTTGCTACACCTTTGCATACTTACAAGTTATCTTGTAATTGTATATTTTGTTTTTGGTGGTGTTGTTTCTTAGTTTCGTCTTGAACACTGTCATCTCAGAACCTCATACCGGTAGGATTAGCTGTCTCAGTTTCAGGCCATCTTCCTCATCAGTGTCACATGACATGTACGAACCAATGGCCGTCACCGCCGGGGATGATGGGAAATTCAAGCTGTGGGCTCTTGCAAATGATGACGACAGTCACAGTAAGTTCTTCACTTCAGATTTATCATAAACTGAAGAAATTCACTGAACTGAAGGGTCCAACTCCACGCTATCATGTGTTGTCTATCAATTTGGGGTGTTATAGTGGTCAGAAGGCTGCAAACAGCCTTTACTTAAGCTTGCTGACTAGTCTTGTTGACTTGCAACAAGGCCGACTAGACTCGCTGTCAGGATGTTATTACACAAACATGCGGTTCTTGTCAGATGGGCTGGTGTTTGGCTGTGATTTTCAGCGTCTTTAGTTCAACCCAGGTAAAAGGAGCACTCGCCATGTTATTTGGATATGTTTGAATCAGGAACTTGTGAAATACGCAATTTTTTGACTGAGTAGTATATTAATTGAACCTAAAGAGGAGTAAAGATAATGTTGAGTTTGAGTGCCAATATTGGTGGATTTGTGCTCATTGTATAGCTGGATCTTTTCCAACTGTTTTCCCCCTGAAATTCTTCAGGTAAAAACAGAAGTTGGGGCTGCGACTCTGTGGGCTTCTTCAGGGAAGACATGCCCAGATGTGCCTGCTTCTCATCAGACGGGTCCCTTCTGGTTGTTGCCTTTGGTCATGTGGTGACGATTTGGGACCCAGACGTCAATGTCTTGAAGAAGACACTCTGTCATGGAACGAAGGACCACCTAATAGAGTAAGTACTTTGTATGTGCACTCAAATTCTACACCTTGAACATTGTGTTGGGCTCTTAGATGTGCAGTGCATTGTGGTTGGTTGCGAATTAAAGCAGCAAGTAACAATCGGATTTTGACAATTTACATCTATGTGTTTTTCTTATACCTGTTACAGAATCTTGGATATATTATTCTTTTGTCACACGGAAACGTTCCTAATTCTGTTGGAAATTTGTCAATGTATTTTTACAGTAGTTGAATTCCTAAATAGTTTTGTGTTTTCATCTTTTATAGTGTATTTGACATTGGAACTTTATTAATTTGCAGGCACATGGCATTCGGGCATGGTTCAGCTTCCCATTGTCTGGTTTCGGCCTCATCAAGTGTTCTGAATGTGTGGAGCCTACTAACTTGCAGTGGTAAGTTTCTGGAATGTGAAAACTGCCTTCCCCACATCATCCCTCCCTACCCCCCCCCCCCCCTTTGATCCATATCCACCACCAAATGTGTTCCTTCCCCTGCCCCATCCCCTCTTCACCAACTGCCACACCCCTTGGTCCACGCCCCTGTTTAGTCCCTCTTTGTGTTTCTCCTTCCGTCGCTGCATGCTTGTGTGTCCCCTACATGTTTGTTTCTGTACCACTGTCATTCACTTCTTTGAGAAATGTGTCACTTATTAGACCAAAGCGTTAGCCCACCTAATTTTGTTAATTTCAAAACTGTTTTGTTTGATACAGTAATATGGCGAGTCAATATGAAAGTCAGTGTACTGGCTGCGGACACCGAGTCTGAGTTTGTTGCCGTATTTGACAAGTCAGGAAATTGTAAGTACAATGTGACAGTGTTTTACTCGTACATTTAAAATAATATGCTGAATTTGTTAAGATCAGTTTGAGATGACTAAATTAGAGATTCTTTCAACAACAATCGATGGGAATAAGTTCTTACTTTCAGTTAAAAGAGTTTTTGAGTTAACAGGATTTGACTTATCGGATTTCACTGTCATGTGCATAGGACTCAGTTGGTGCAGCTCCAGAGGGGCAATCCGGAGGTCGATCCAGTCAATTTCTTTGTTCGAATTTCAAAACCCCCATTTTGTCACTCCCAAACAGTGTTTGTTTTCCACCCGCTGGAGCCCAAGCTTGTCTACTCCAAGCAAGACCTCCCCACACCACACATCATCAGTGCAGTATTCATCCCTAAGACAAGAGAAGACACATCTGCAGCTAGGAGGTCAGATCTCCTGCCGTGGGAGACGCACTCCCATCTTTACTTTGTTACAAAGTGCCTGATGCTGGCGACTGTGACGAGTCAAGTTGATCAGCAAAGAGCGAACCGTGCTGTAAGTGTTTAACACATTACCATCTGGACGACATTGTATTATTTTGCAATTTTAAGGTGAACGAAGAAATTGACTGGAGCGGGGTTTGAACCGGCGACCTCGGGATTACCATTCTGGACCAGCAATCCCGAGGTCGCAGGTTCAAATCCAGCTCCAGTTAATTTCTTTGTTCAACTATAAAATTGTTATATTGTGCCTAGTCAGTTTCCCTTTGTTGTCCATTTGAAAATATGTAAAATTTTGTATGTATTCCCTGGTGAAGCCATATTTCAGTTTGAATGTGGAGAGAAGGAGATGTATTGCAGTGCTTTTTCAATAATCCTTAATTTTTTTTGAATTAGATTTTTTTTCAATTACTTTTAGAGCCCAATTAGATTGTTAAATATATATATAGCGGCTGTAAAAATGAATGTATTTCTGTACATGTATCAGGACTTGGAGGAGAGGTTACCACCCACACCATTCGCCATGCTGTTGAACAACCAGCAGCGCAAAGTGGATAAGGAGGGAGAAGGAGTCAGGATGCAAGACCTGCCTGCCTCAGCTAACATGAGAGAGGTGAGTAGTCTGTACTGAGGTCATGTCCAGAATTACGTGGCTACGGCTTACAATCCTACATGCGCCTATGAAAGCGGCTAAATCCACTTCCCATAGACACGTTTATTACTGCTAGCCATTGCCAAGTCATTTAAACATTAGGGCGCTCAACTAATGTTACAGATTAAATACTTTATCTGCTAATATTTTATCAGCAATACAATTTGTTCGGTTTTTTTCTTCCTGTTTTTGGCTCTTGTAAATTGCAATAAACATATAAACATCTTTCAGTTAGCTTCATTTGTTTTTAGTTTCTTTGAATTCCTTTCTGTTGCAGATGCTGCAATCACCGGCTCATATATTACCACCAGTCAAGTCTTTGTGTGCCACTTTCCTCCAAGGGCTGCTAAACCCAGGGGCAAAAGCTCTCCAAAGGTACAAGTTCAAGGAACTGTAGAACAGGGGAATGATTCAAACCCAGACTTTGTCTCAAATATATTGGTTGAATTGGTTCAGCATTTTAGACTCAGTATTTGTGAGCTACAAAAATGTACTTCCAAAACAACTTTAGTTTAATCTTAAAAATGAGCCTTGTCCAAAGTTATATATTAGGTAAACAACCATTAGGATTGGTTATAAGGGGCATGGACGGAACAGTACTTAAATACATCATGAAATTTATTGTATTTAGAATGCTTTCAGTTTGTTTGAAGAAATTTATCACTCTCCTTTTCTTGTCTCCTGCCTTTTGGCTTAGGAGAGACGAAGTAGACACAGATGAATCAGATGCAGAAAGCGACAAGGAATCAGACTCGGAAGAGTCCGACATGGAAACCGAGACAGCTGTCAGAGGCCATATGACCCAATCAAAAGACACTGGAAACAGTACTGATCAATCAGAGCATCACGTCCGATCAGGTGATCAGTATGCAAATGAAGCACTAAGTGAGGCAGATTATAGGCGACTTGAGAAAGTGTCGAGGTCTGGGCTGAAATGGATGCGCAAGGTCTTCCAGGAAACTTACTAGGAGTTTTGGACCGGAGACATGTTTCAGTTTGAAGGTGGAAGTGCAAAAGAATGAAAGTCTGTCCTGAGCCTATATGGCTCATCAGGCCGGCGTTTATCTCTGGTTTCCTTGGCATGAAACAGCTGAGAATATTTCTGTTCCCCTGGATGGGATGCTAGTCTATCGCAGGTTACTCCCCAGCTAATGCCGGTACCCATTTGTACTCCTTGATGGAGAGGGGCACGTTGGGGTTAACACATGGCCTGCAGCTGGATTTGAACCCCTGAGCCTTCGATCATGAGTCACAAACGCTAACCACTAGGCCATGCCTCTCCCTCCCCCTCCCCCCACCCCCCACCCCTCCCCCCACCCAGAAAGTTTTGGAAAGTGAAAAGCCTGCTTCTATTCCAATGATTTTTGAAATGACATTTTGTTTTTAAGACCATGCTGCTAACTTTGTGCCAAGCCAGACATTTGAATGCTATTGCTGCTGTGCCCTGGTGCCTATGTGTAGCATCTTCTCAGTAGAAAGAACTTGGTTCACTTTGTTTCTTTCTTGGAGGGACAAAAGAACCTTATTGATTTCTTCTCTGTCGACAAGCTCCGCACTGTCTCCTCTCTCTGTCTTCAACACAACAATGACCAACCCCCTACTTCCAATGTATACAATGTATACAATATAAGCCTGCTTGCTCGCAGAGGTTCACTTCTGACCCTCATAGTACATACATGTCAGAAGTTACAAAAAATAGCAACCAGGCTGGTTAGACTTTACACGGGTTGTTTTTTTAGATCCAACCCCCAATGACAGAAAATTTGTAATAAACCCACATCTCTTCCTATGTACCAGTAACAACACTTCAGTTTGGTGTACACCCACATAGAGAATAAAATTAGTCTGTAAACCTGGCACCCTGTGTATGTTAAGCATTGAGTGCATGCATGATGTGCTCCACTTACTGGAACACTGTTGTGGTCAGGCAGCGCCCTCTACTGTTCTTAGAGGGAGTCTACAGAGTCATTATGAAATGCTGAGGACTATTTGTAATCTACTACCAGTAATGTCTTCTCCACTTACTTCACCACCTCCAAGTAATCGAGGGGTTTCCCCCAAAGTCAGCCGGCTAATGTAAGCTATACCATTGATCAGTGCTGTATGCAGACACCATATTTGTATTAATATTTAACTCTTTTTCAAGGGTGGGGTGTTCTTTTTTATGAACCTTGTCACATGAGTTAGAAGTGTATCCTAAATGGAATAAAAGAATACAAAGGGAACTTATTTGATCAAAATAACAATCATGTAATGAATGCTGCTTGACTTGACTAGACTGATTGGAAAGCTTTTACATGTACAGATCAAAATATTTGAGAATGGCTCGTATAGGGGCCAAGGATCTGGCAGGACATTGTCTTCATTGATGCATATGGTCATTCAATTTAATTGTAATTGGATTGAAATGACCAAAAAATGACGTCCCTTTATCGGCCAAGGCCGCGAGTAAAAGGGATTTCTATGTTAACCCTTCCTTCATTAGCAAGATTAGCAATACATGTGTATTGTCAAACTTCGAATATTTACAAAGTTCAGTGAAAAAGAAATTCAACCTTGTAGAAATGTTTCGGAAAGTGCGATGGAAAATAGCTGTTCCCCTTCAAATGCTCGCTGTTCGATTAGTGAAGGGATTTTTTTTATATAAAATACCAACACAGAAATCTACTAAACAGTCCGAGGCACAACAATACTTGGAATAATTCTTTCAAAACCTTTAATCAAAAAGCCAGCAAGTACATAAGAGTATGTTATTCATTACAAAAACTTAATTGAATAGAATAGTGTTGAGGTAATTAATGTTAATTATGCGTGGCTAATCACATTTTGAAATTTCTCTTTACACTCCGATTTCACACAAAAAATGATAGCAAATTATCGTACATCTTTATTTTGTAAATCAAAATTTTGTATACCAAAAATGAAAATTGCCTCGTATTTTGCAATGCGATTCAAGTGAATTCGATCACCGGCTTTTATTTTGCACTGTCCAAATGATAGCCGTTTTAAATTAAAAAAAAATAATAAAGTCATTATTAAACAAATATTTTTTTTTTCAAGTCTCTTAATAATATTCATACACCTGCAATTTTCCTCCAAACGGTGCACAGTCCGTGCTTGTATTTACGTCAGTACTAACTTGCTTCATTTAAATGCCCGTGTCGGATCATTTAGAAAAATACCCAATTATTGTAAAACCCTTCCCTTGAAGTAAAACAAAGGTCTTGTGCAAAATATCCCGTGGCAATCGTCAATTAAACACGTGCATTTTTATTTAGAAGAAAACGATCAGTACAGGTGTTTACAATGAACGAATGGGAACTGGCGCCATAATTGCACTCTGCTACTATAATGAAGTCCATTTGCGTGTGCAAAAATGCATATATCTGAGTGTTGAAACACTCGGACAACAAGTATATTTGGAATTTGTTTTTGGAATAGTATGTTTTCAGAACCCCCAAGACGGAATTAAAAATAAACTCATGGCACAACACGTGCACGTTTCAAGGTTTTGCCCGCCGCAGATTTGATAACAAGATACCCACAAAGACACAGCTGATAAGATACACGTAGGCCTAGGCTCTTCTTAAATGGGTAAGCTCACAAGTCGGACATAGACCTATTAAGTGTCCTTGAAAAAAGTGCAGTATTTGCTGTCGTTTCAGGAACGTGTTTGATAAAATCTTTTCAGGAAAGGTCAAGAAACATTGGAAAATATAAGCGCAACTCTAACAACATACATTACGGGGTATATGCCTAGTTTTCTTTCCAAGTTTGTTGCAGACGGAGATTTTAAGAACTGGCCCTATAGCCAAATACTTGTTAGTGGTTTTCTGTACGTATTGGAACCTTTAGGAAAATACTTTGCATTTCATCAGTAGATAGAACAGCATTCAAATAATAATCATATAATAAAAAATAGTATAATCTCTCGACTGTACAGTTGCAAACTACAGAGATAAATAGTTAAAACATTTAAAGTTACATGGTCACTATACCTATTGACCACAGATCATCTGCTACGGCTTAATATTTGGGATACACATACCATACAATTTTTATTTTCAAATTCTCTAATAACGCCATTAACTAATCAGTCATCAATTGAATTCTTTCATGGGCCTTGTTTAGTGGACACTTTCATGACGACCTTTACAACTGTCTTTAATTAGGCACACGTCTCGGAGCTGCCAGTAAGCGAAAATTTTCTCAGAAAGTCACAAACAATACACTTACACGTGACAATTGATTAGTAAATGTTTGTTTTGCCTAAATATTTGGACAAACTAAAATAAAAATAACTCCGTGGCCTAGAGCGGCTGTCGGTTTGTCCGTGACTAGATAACATACACAAAGCCGTCCTATCTAGCCAGGAGAATATAGACAAGATATTCTCCTGACTAGATGTCAAAGTTGTTAAAACCCTTTAGGTTTTCTACGTTAGATTGGCAGGAGAATATAGACAAGATAAGAACAATCAAGGTCTTGTGCCGTACTGCTTCACTGATAATAGACCGGGACACGTGTCAAGAAAGAGTAGGGAAGGGAACTCATTGTTGGTGAATTACGCAAATTTGTTTGTCAAAGTTGTTAAAACCTTAGGTTTTCTACGTTAACAATATTTTTTTGTGCATCTGTACTGTGTATATTACTTCTACATTTTGCATTGCTGTCTTGTTCATAATATTGACGCCGTCTTCAGTTTTTCATCCTGAATTTCATCTCGGAGGTTTTGAGGGAGTAGTAATATCCTTTCCACTGGTACCACACCACCCCTTTGCCGTAGCTGTCCGTAGTTCCGCCCAGGTAGTCCCCGTTGAGCGAGGCGTAGTAGCAGCTGTTGTGCCACCAGGCGCTGTGGTATTCCTTGGCGCAGTTCTTGGTGCCCCAGTTGTCGTTGTCTCGGTCTTTGGTCGTGAAGGGCTGGTTGTTATGGTTGGCCATTGCGTCACCTGATGGAAGAACCAGCATTGCACAGCTTACAGCACATCGTTAAGGTACGAGTACTTTAAGGCAAAGAGAATCATTTGAATTTGTCCCAAAAGTAACCTAGCGATATTTATCCAAATGCTTATTTGAGTTAAAGATCGTACTGGTACTAGATACATCATGAAATAATTCCGTCAGGTTTGCTATCATTGAGAAGAAATCATCTTCAACATGATTTTGACACCGTGTCAGGCCAAATAGGACAAGTATAACATCCGGGTCAAACTGACCTGCGACTTTTACAGTATACCAGCAATGCTTTGGGAATCTGCGTTTCCTTCACAAAATTTTGTGAAACAGATTAGAGTTGACCAGCGCCCTTGGTTGGATGGTGCGGAAGGAACAAGCGAACTATCTTACCAGCCGTGCCCAAGTACGCCCCCACCGTCAGCCGGAAGTTACCCTCGGCATCTCCGACGCGGAACAGGTCGTACTCGGCGTAGGCCGAGTTGCCTTCGAAGTCGGTGAGGTCGACCCTGAATTCGTACTCGTCTTGAGCGGTCAGTCGGTGCAGGTTGTCATTGCCCAGCCAGAACTCGCTCTCTGGGTCGCCGAAGCCGCGCCGGTAGTTGGCAAAGTTGCGGTCGAAGTCGACCGTGCCGTCCTGGCGACGCTGGAAGACCTTTTTAAGAATACAAATATGGGTTGGTCAGCTCAGAACCAGGGACCGACGTAGCCTCTGCAGAACACAGCAATTTGCTAAGCCAGAAGATATGTGCTTAGCGAAAGCAGGTTACCAGTTCAGATGTCATGCAATGCGAATTGCTTATGGCTGGTTACCAACTGAGTGTTGGTAAGTGGATGAGAGTTGTTTTTCTGTAAAATCGGACCCAGGACTTGAAGGTCCAAGTACGTGGACTCGGGTACCTGTACTCTTCTCACGGTCAAAGTACATACTCGGATGCGAGTGGTAGTCGATAGCTTGGTACTTGGCACTCGTTGTACTCGGATAAAAGTACTCATTGGATTATGCTCGTTGCAGAGTTGAATTTACATCCTCACAAAAAGTCCTTACAAGTCCTCACAAGACCAAAAAGTCCAAACAAGTCTTAAAAAAAGTCAGCTTCATCCAGTTTCAAGCCTTTTGACCGTAACCTAATGCGCTGCGATATATTGAAAAGCCTTCCTTATTTAGTCTTTGCTAATTTTCAGAAGGCAATAACTCACAATACAAGAGCAATTGGTGATTGCTTTCTATACTCAAAGTTTCCCCGACTAAAGAGGAATACCACACTCCCTTGAATAAGAAGAGGGCGTGCTTTCGTATTGTCCGTGTACACGTTTACAACCCCATTGTCATTTCATAATGTTGTGAGATTTTTATCCTGTGAATTTTCCAACGGTTTCCGTCGGTTTTACGTGTATTTGAATACTCTGTTTTACGTGTATCTGCTACTCTGACTTGTAATTTGTTTAAGTTTATGGTAAAGGGAGTAACTTTTCTTTCAGTCATGAACACTGAATTTCGGGGGCTGTATCATGAGTCCGACTCCTCATTGGTCCGACGCCTCATACGTCCGACGTCGGAAAAACAAGGCGTTTAATTTGTCGGACCTACGAGGCGTCGGAGTTATGAGGCGCCGGAGCTATGAGGCGTCGGACCTATGAGGCGTCGGACTTATGATGCGTCGGACCTATGAGGCGTCGGACTAAATGGCCTTTATTTGGTTAGGGGATGCGATTTTGTCGGACTTATGAGGCGTCGGACCTATGAGGCGTCGGACTTATGAGCGGACCCCGAATTTTGAAGGGGATGTGCCAGCAGAAAGGATGCCTTTTTTAGCACGACGTTCAAAAGTGCAACGTGAGGTATAGGTTACGTATAGCGTTGACAATGTTTGAGCCGTGTGACACGATATTATCCAAGCTGTAATACACGACTGGTTGACGTCACGTGAGGATCACGATGGCATGGCGCATGTAAGTCGATTATTAACCCCGTGGCAAACCGATCTGCCTTTACCCGAGTTGACTCGGGGAAAACTACTCGAATGCACTTTGTTTGCTTTTTTCACGGTCCTCCAAACTGAGTTCATTTCTTACCGTCCATCCACCGCCGTCCGTCTCCATATCGCAATACACCTCGAACGCCCTGGAGAAGTCCAGAGGTTGCACCATATACACGCCGCTGTTTGTTGCACCCCTTGCCAGGGCCTCGGAGCAATCCTTCGGCAGGCCTACCAAAGTGGCTGCCAAAGAAAATAACATCCAACATATATTCAATGGAGCGCGCAGATTGACCTAAAACAAATACGTCGGTTAAGGGCAACACCCAATTTACGTAACCAGTCACACACCCAAGCAAATTCCATCTTATGAATACATCACATGTAGACCATACGAGTACGTTGTCATTTAGTGCTGACGGAGCCCCCTTCAATGTCGTATGCATTGTACCAGTACTACGCTAATGCCCCATGACGGATTGTCTGTACAAAAACTACAATGGCTGGCATAATGGTTCCCCATTAAAGGGGGCCACAGTGAATTGCACAGTAATATAGTGTGCTTGTAATGATCTATAGGAGCTTCAACGCATGTGACGTCCTTTTAAAATCTTACGGATTTTTTTTGTCTCCTGTCTGAGATCATTAGTCAAGGGCTTATTGATGTCTGGGAAAGAAATGTTATGGTCAGTAAAATATATCAACAACAAAAAGTTTCCAAATAACAATTTGGTAAATATACAAACGCGGGAGGCTGTGACTAGGCTAAGTCAATGCTTTGTAACTACACGGCACCGTATGAAAGGGAACGTAGCCTTGCTTAAACTTAACGCTCTATTTTTCGTTTATTAATTCATGTAAAAAAATCATCAATGTAGAGAGAGGTACAGTTAGCCTAAGTCCCGACATGTTCACGGCTGATTAGTGTCAAGTCTATAATTACTGCTTGACGTAGAATAAAAGAAAATGAGGAAACGAATGTCAGAATAAAACGGTCATCAAAATACCAGAAAGGGAAGCTGACTTCATATGCTAAATCAGTATGAGGCTGGACAAAGTAAACACGTAGGAAGGCCACGAAGTAACTTAATATAAAAATAAAAAACATATCCGCATTAATATTATTTTGATAATTGATAATTATTTTGAAATTGATTTTGTGCCTTTTGAATAGTTCACGATTTGTAATAGATAAATAAAGCTTTATGAGATTCAAATTAATTTTGAATATACGGAGCGTCCCACTCCTATTTTCTACATTTGTATCAATCTTAGCACATTAATGAAACTGACACGTAAAAAACAGAAATGTAGTGTGTATATGAAGTCCTTTTATATTCAAGTATACATTTTCTTGCATATTTCGTAAGAAGGTGAAATTCATAAAGTTTAATATTGTAGCAAAGCACGGACATACCCGTGCAACTTTTTAATTGAGAAGTACATCTGAAAACTCATTTACATCTGCACAGAGCAGCTGCTGATATGACGGCCTTGGAATTCCTTGAGATTAACAGACACCAACAAACCAGGAAGGATGTTCCGTAATGCAACCACATTTGATTTCACATACCCTTATTAAAACATCGCACTTTATGATAGCAAACGAGAGACCTTAGACAGACCGAACATGAATTAAACTGAGTATGTTTTTTTTTTATCTTTTAGCGTAAATGTCTGAATTGAATTATAATTAATTTTAACATTTCCAATATTTGTAAATATGCCTACACAAAAAAATGCGCATGTCCAAATTGGTATGATGCGAGTACAGCCGTTTTAATGCGTACATTGTCACGTTAAAAACTACAATGTTCAACTTTTTTGCAACAGTTTGGCCTTCAACATTACACATTAGGTGTTGCCCTTCACCGACGTATTTTAATAAACATGGTATAACTCCGTGTTGTCCCTAGTGATTGTGAGAAAAAAAATCACTCGGGTAGGACTCGAACCAACGAACTCCAGAATGCTAGTGCAGACGTCTTACCACGTCTAATGAATAGTTTGGCTTTGTTTCTACACTGAGGAAATTGCAACTTCTGGTTACACTCTGACGAAGCTGCCTGATGACTTCCATCGTACATGTGGTTTTCATACTTAGATACCGGATCTGACTTCCGCATCCGCATTTGTTGCATTCAGAGCAGTTCAGCTCTATACAGTACATTGACCCACGAGGTCTAACTGTTTCTCCCAATGTATTGTTGAAGTACAGGCCTACCAATTGTAACGAATCTTATCACGACAAATTATGTGTTAATCCACTTTTCACGAAGGTGTAACACTGTTATTCTCATCAAATGAGACATATCATTATGTTACTGTAAGAATAATTGGTTTGTACTTTAAATGTGCTTGGTGGTTGGCGTACACTGGGTGAACAGTGAGTCCAGTTGTACATTTAGTTCAGTGTTGGCTAATTACAAAACTTTGTTTGGCAAATACATACGAATAGTGAACCAAAGATGAACAAATTAAGACGATCATGTTGGCTATTTGACCGTAATGCTGCAGTGTACATGAGTTACTATGCACGTACATGTACAATGTACTCGTGTATGTGGGAGAGTCATAAATGTGAATTCAACCGGTCGGGTTGGTCTGTGCACTCCGGGTTGGCATTAGCTATTTCCATGTTAGTGAGTAAATTTCCAAGAGAACCCTGGGTGGAGCGGGTAATATGGCCCCGATTTCAGTTTAAAGCATGAATCGTGGATTTAAAAAGGATTATTGATAAGCTGGATCCACCTAATCGGATGACAAGATGTAGGTTACATTCAGGTATGAGCACATTAAGGCCTCGATGAAGCTATCACTTGAATCTTGAGAAGATGGACGTGGGTGTGTTTTTTAACTTGAGGTACACTCGGAAATTTTATGAGTTTCCATCATAGGTTAAAGAGGAGTGCGTTCCAATAATCAGAAATAATAATAATCCAGTCGTATACTGGTTTTTTTCCAAAGAAGATAAGATAAGCGCAGTGTCAACTACCGTGTACGTGTATTGATGCCATTATTTAAATAAAATATGAAAATCTTCGAAACGAAACTATTTTGGAATTTCGCTCTTGGTGCACTTGGCCTTTAACATGGAATCTAACTTTGTACGCGGTTGACCCTGACTACATGGCAATGACCTGACACATTTTAGTTTTAACGAAAGGCACGATATGTTTCCCGTCTTGAGATAACAAACAGAGACAGCCGGCGGGCATTCGCACGCGCATGTGGTAGATTTGCCGGGAAGTAACTTTCGATAGCATGAGTTCATGTTGTGGACACTTGTTGGGTTTACTGAAGGCTAAAACTTGGCCTTTGCGTGGGAAAGCATGATGTGTTATCGTCATGCCTAATTTTTTTTTCAAGAAGCGAACCACAAGGTTACAGGCCATAAATTGCCTACGCCCACATACTTTCGACTTCTTAACCGAGGGTTTTGTTTACGCGAAACATTCGAAGGTTAGAGCTGTACATTTGTATTTCTCGAAAGAAAAAACAGCTTTAATTTGATGTGTGTCTTCGAGCATTGTATCGGTCTAACATTCAGAAATGAGGGTTTTTTCATCATTAGTTTCTATGGAGATTCATTTATTGCTTTGTATGTAACCTTATTAAAGATATGGCCACCTTTAAAAAGTGTTTCCCGTATCAATAGACCGATTACATTCAGCGGCTATGAGGTGTGCTTTGTTTATGTTAATTCATTAACAATGAAAGCTACAATGTATATGTTAATGCATTAACAATGACCATGGCTGCAGTGCAAGCGATCTATTTTGTCAAACGTGCAAGGAGCGTGGCTTGACGCATGCGCCAAGTTGCCAGACTATTGGTACATTTGTAACGATTGCAGCGTTCGCCTCGTTTCATCCTTTCAGCTTTTGGGGCAAAAACCTGGAAAGATGGTTGCACCATAATTCAGAATTTATCATCGCAACACAAACAAAGTCTGCTTGACTGCCTTCTATCCTCCCTTCGTAGCTCTGGACCGAGTGTGAAGTGCCTAGCCCCAGTTTCATATTTGTCCTGAAAGCCAATCAATTATCTGTAATTGAGCTCTCCTATTGTTTGTACATGCGACGTTTAATCTCATGATGTTCCTGATATAACTTAATATGGTTTCCTCACTCCCTCTGTGCTAGTTTGATACGTTCTTCGGATCAATAACGTTTTTTTTTCTAACTGAATTTTGTAAGAGCGATTCCGGGTCACTATTTTCCTTACTTGTGACATCCCTTCCATTATTTAAAAAATCAACTGCTGCATCAGAATAATGTGGATGTGCTGGCTGCAATTCAGTGTGGTAATTTAATAGATACATTTTGCACTTTCATCAGCTTTGTGACTTTACGTAATTCAGATTTAAAGGGATAAGGCCACGTACGAACCTGGCGTAACCACAAATAAAATATTGAAGATAGGATTCGCATTGCGATAATCTTTGTAGTAAATATTGCGGGTCTTACCGGGTACTGGTACTCCAGGCCTTTGGAAGGCTTTGAGGACCACAGCGAGGTCTGATACTGCCGTGTGAAGTTGCTGGAGTTGATGTCCCGTGTCCCCTCGGCCCAAGGACTCACGGCAACTGTCCCTGAGCCTGGCCAGCTCGGACGTGATCATCTCCCTTATGGCCGAGCAGTTGCAGCATGTGCCGGAGTTGGTGGAGGAAGCAGCCGGAGGGTGGATGGTGATATGGGGCTGGCAGACAAAGTTGCCCGGTGGCACATCGGCGTCCGTTCTCGCTGATGGTGTAGCCGGCCGGTCTTGGTCCTCAGTACCGGGAGGATGGGCATCCATACCGGTACCGGTGCGGGAGGTGGTCCTGCTCTGATGACGGCCTCCTCCTGTTACGGGAGCTCCTGATTGCGATGTGTCTTCGGTCTCTCCAGGGACCAGCGTTCGCGGCCCTCTGGCATCGTCAGGCCTGCCCAGGCTGTCTCTGCTGGTCGAGGTTTCGTGGGTCTCGGAACCGTTTCCACGTTCATTCTGAGAGATGGTTGTGGTGATACAGAGTACAGCCAGCAAGAGAAAGGTCTTAAGGCACTGGGGACTCATGTTTCCAAGATGGAACTACTGCAGATGCCTTCCTAATCGTGGCTGAATATTTACAAACGATTGTCACTGGCCCGGACGTGGGAAACACTGCACTGTACTTGTCAAACTTACAAAGCCATCATCAGTTCAGGATATGACCTACGGTGGCCTTGATCGATCACCAGCGGAACAATTTTGTGGATGTTATATATTCCTGTGAACCCTAAACTAATTATTCTAAAGCCGTGATTTACAATCCGTTTGGCAACTCTACAAACCATTGCCACTTTCTGTCTCAGTATAATTTTGGACCATTAAGGTGACCCCTGAATGCCCCGACTATTAAGAGGTCATCATATCTAGGCAGTTCAGACTTCGCAGTTCAATCATCCCAGCGACATCCTTTAGATTTGTAGCAAGTCCCTTGTCGAGACAATCGCGTGTAGATGCCAGACTGTTTAATAGGCACACGCAGCATTACGATATGTTCAGCTGAGCCGATGAAAACACCTCTTTATTTGCATATGCATTTTCATTAGTTGCTTTGTGTTACCCAGGGTATACTCAGCAAATAGACCCAAGAACCTTTGAGTTATACGTCTGCTATGTTGCCAAAATCAAAATCTACCGAAAACAAAAGCCTTTTTTAACAGCAGGTTGAAGACACCCTAGTGTTTTTTGCTTAATTTTAAACATACAAGTTAAGTAACAAATCGTCGTGAGAAACTAAATGTCGATTTTGTTTGAAGGACAATAATCTTTGAAACGAGGAACGGAACTCAAGTTTGACAGCGGTAGTGTTGTAATCACATTGGAGTTCCCCGACTTCCTATATACAGGTTCCCACCACGCCACTTTCTAGTATAGTGGTTCTACAGGGAGGAAGTCCCAGGGCCCAGCAACGGAAACATATGGGTTCCTCTCCATAGGTAAACCAGAGGCTAATAAACGAAGACAGGTGGGCAAATAACCCTGCAAACTTCCGCCACGGTTCTATTGTTATTTGATCATTCTCCATGTTTTCAGGGAACAGAGCAAGGAAACACGACCGCACGAAAGTCATGTTCAGTCTTGTAGGACCCCAAATTATTCTGAATATTTTTATTATAATAAGGTTCCTGAAGCTTTCCTACACAGAAATTCCTCACATTGGTCTTTTAGTTGACATTTTAATAGCATAGGCGTAGCCAGCGGGGGTGGGGGTGGTAATTGTTTTTTTTATTTTTTTTTTTTGGGGGGGGTGGTAATTTAACACCCCCCCCGCCCGCCAATATTTTGTAAAGACTGCTCTTCTTTTAAAAGCACCATTGTCCGTTAGCGTGCATTATCGTCAGTTTTGAACAGCGCCTCCACGACAGATGGTACCAGCCCCCCCCCCCCCACCCCACCTATTTGATTTGACGGAGCCCCATGTCCGTAGAAAAAAACTCGTCTACATTTCAGCACAGATGTGCAAAATATAGTGCCCTTTTCAAGAAATGTATAACCCCCCCCCCTGTAAAAATGCCCTTGCTACGCCCCTGAATAGCGTTTATGTAGGTAGTTATATGTTAAAAGTTTCTGCATGCATACCGCACCTATAGCTATAAACAGTTGGATAGACCAATGCGCACATCTTCACGAATTAGGAAATTGCGGTCAGGTGATACCGAAATTCAACTAACACTTCTATCCTGCGCTACATCACAGTTTCACAGAGAGTTGTTTGAAAGTATGAACGTTAACGTAACAGTGAATGAAGCAGTCACGTATTGTACGTATGGAAATTACAGGTCAGTTTTATTTTGGCGTGCAGCAAATGGGCAATGTTGGGGCCTCAATTTGTGTGCTCTCGTCAATACGTAACCGGGGGGGGGGGGGGGGGGCACGAGGGGTACGTCCCCCTTCCAGGCGGATGTCCGTCCCCCTTCCAGGCGGATGTCCGTGTCCCCCCCCCCCCCCCCCCAAATGACGCCAAATGTTAATATTTTGTGGGCGGCGTTCATCTGTAGGATCGAAATTAGTAGGCGAACTGTTACAGCCAGAAAAGCGGGACAAATGACCTTCTATGCACACAGTTTGCTCCTGCTTTGGTTTGGAACATCTTTCTCAATGGCTTATTACAACATCTGGAAAATGCCCAAGACGGAAAAACGATTCCTGATCTAACGTTGTGGACCCCTCAGTAAAACTCGTGTAGCCTAAACGAGGTGGAGGGCGCCATTCATGATAGTCGTATGGTGGGATGTGCAACTGCGAAGGTAATTGTGTGTGGGCGGGGGGTGGGGGTGGGGGTGGGGGTGGGTGGGGGTGTCACAGTCTAACTGCTGACATTGTTGCATGCTTGATTTGTTCTTCGAGCCCGTGCTGGTTGTCAACATGGAACGAACGACAAAAGGAAAGACTTCATAATCAACTCTCATTATTCAACCAAAAAGCAAACATTGAAACAAAGCACAACATATTGAAAATGCTAATTGCTCACTATGGTTTATTCGGTTTTCTTTTTAGTTCCCCCGAGGGCTCTATATAACTGTTAATTTTCATGTGCAATATTTTTTTTAACCATTAACAGACATTAATGAAAGTCTTGTATACATTTGGTACCTATGCCTTGCTTCTATACATAATGCAAACAAACATATAATATCCTTTTATTGTTGTCGCTTTATATATTATTGACTAATTTAATTAAACTAACGGTAGGACGACCAGTTCTGAACTACATGCGTGATAATGCTTTACTTGTTTTTGTTTGTTTGTGAATCCGGGTTTACAAGTTGTTATGGATTAGTTCTCGACAATAACCAGTTACTTCGTAGCACCTGATGTATCACTACACTTGCTGTTTAAACACGAGTAAAGTTATAATAGCGGACGGCCTACCCTCTAGAACACTTGTGTCAGATTTAACACTATTCCGGGTCAACATGACACTATTCCGGGTCAAAATTACACTTTTCTGGGTCAAAATAACGCTATTCTTGGTCAAAATGACACCATTCCGGGTCAAAATGACCTGAATAATGAGTCGAAAAAGTGTCATTTGGACCCGGATGAGTGTCGTTTTGCCCCGGAAACGTGTCACTTTGAAAGTTTACTTCTATACCATGAAAAGCTTCAAATGTTTTAAGTGCACTATAATATTTCTTGTCTTTAACAAAAACAAAAACAAAACATAATGCTAAACATGTGCTTTGTGACTACGAACATTGCGAATGGAACCACAACGACACTATGCACAGAAATACTTCGGTGTGTAAAGACTTGTAAAGCTTTGTACAACCATGGAGGAATATTCCTCCATGGTACAACGCTAAAAGAAGAAGCTAAGTAGGAGTGTATGCCAAGTTCAAAAGAATAAGCGATGCTAAGGTATGTCCTGATAAGCTGTTGGTTTTATCTACAGTAAACAGTGTGCCAGCACAAATAAAATATAATCATATTCGTCAATATTTACAAGTTTTCCTAAGTCTCACTTTAGATTATTTTGGTTCGGGAACGCGGATGTAATACATACTATATGCCGTACGTTTTAGTGATAACTGGTGCACTATTTGCTGTATAATAAGTTGGGTACGTGCACTCGAGCCGAGTCTATTGAGGTAAGCGTTTGATAAAATGCATAAAGGATGTCGATCACATTTTTTCTGGAATATCGCCATGATATCATTACTGAATGTTCTTGCTCAAAATTTCTTACTTTCAAAGAGTAGTTACACATTTGTGGGAACTGGAATTTTCGGAATCTTTGTTTGTCGCCTTTGCAACCGTCATAATATAAAGTTATCTGCCAACTATATCCAGAGTGTAACATATTCTACGAGATAAACATCTTGTTGTAAAATCCATCCTCCACAGATATAATTACGAGACAAATTCGGGACTTTGAAAAAAAAAAAAAAAAAAAAAAAAAATGGAATGCTGTGGCTCCAGGATTTCTCCACGCCTTTGTTTTTGTCCGTCAAAGGGTTTATTACATTCCTTGTGCGAATAATAATTCCAATGGCAAAACCAAATTTACTTTTACGTTATGCGCACAACGATCCTGCATTACGTATCACAGATGGACTTATCGTTCACGAGTTTCAACAATGTGCCACATATTCCACTTTCGCTTAGGTACATGTATGATAGGGACAAGAGAAAACAAATAATAAATTAATACCTATTTTTCTCAATAATCATTGCTACAATCCCAGATAAAATGCGCAGATGAATATAGCTTACTCAACAAGAGAGGTTTAATATTTAAAATGACATTAAATATGGCTTCACTGACATTAAGAATATTCCATCACGCCTTTGTAAGTCAACATGATCATCTTGAAACAAAAGTTTGTCTTTCTGACGATTTATTTCCTGTTTGATATGCGTTCGAGAGAAACAGACATTCTCTCGTACTTTTATCGGAGATTGTAGCATAGACCTTAAATTGCGCCCTCTAGAACCCATATCGCCTATAAATAACTCCTAGGTGTTCATCAGGTTAGTGCAGTCCACGTCAACATCCAGATCCATAGTGTAAAAATAAAACACTGTTGGTAAGCTTGTCCAAAATCGCTGTGAAGAAGTAACATTTGAGTTGAGTGTTAATAAAGGGGCAAAATTCAGTTTTCGTAAACCACAACACGCACTATTATGTACTCTTACAGAAAAATTAATTTTATGGCAAACCTTCGACAAGGCTTTTCAGAATCTACTTACGTTCTAATAATTTAAGATAAGTGGCAGCATTTTAAAAAGTCTTTTTTTCCCTTTCACAATTAAGTTTTTTTTTCGTTTATGCATTACATCAAACAATTGAAGTGAATTACGATGCATGGAAAGTTTTCAAGAAATGAATGAAACATATAGGTTGGAGAATAAAACTCCCCTCAAATTTCTTTTTCTAAATGAGATAATGAAAGGTTGTTTTTGCACTAAACTTAAACAGCGGATATACGACCCATTCGTTTCAATTTAAATATGCATGAGATTGTTGGCGAGTCAGGAATTTAGTTCTGTTCAACTTTGTAGCTCATCGTAAATTCTCGTAAGTAACCAATTTAATGTCTTTTTTATATTACATTTCAGAGTTTTTTTTGTTTTGTACTGGCACAGAAGAAAGAAATACTGAATCTTGAATCGTGTCCTGTATGACATTGGTTGATTATTAGTTGATCGGACAGTCATTAATGTTTACCTGTTTGTTTATTTGCAGATGACACTCTGCAGCTTCATCTGTCTGCACCACTTGATAATGTTCAATGTGTCCATCATCATGTCAATGGATTTGGAGCTTGCACGTTTTTCTTCACTGAACACACCGCTTCCCTTGCCTGACATTCGCTGTACATAGAAAAGGAAAAAAATCAAATTATTATAACGCAACTATAATCAGTTTCCCTTTGTGGTTAGTTAAAAATAAAAAGCTGTATCTTCTCCAAGTAATCCCCTTTTTTCAGGTTTGCAGTATTGCTAATGTTGCTAGCATTATGACTTTGGTGTGATTCATGGCTACGTGGCATGTACCGGTTTAAGGCCTCTGACTGTAGCGCCTCTTCAACAAAGATACTGACGTAATTTGGAACCGCCAACATAGGGCTAGATCAAACCCCGCTCCAGACAATTTCTTTGTTCAATTGAAAACAAAAATTAAGCTGTGTTCTGGTCAAACTCGAGGTTAATTTACATGTATATTGTAACTACATTTATCTCTTATGTAGGAATAATGACATGTTTTTGTTTGTCAAGCGCTTTTGCTTCACTTGCTGACGCTGTGCGCACCCTAGCGAGAGGAGATGTCAAATAAAAAAAAGAATTCAGTTTTGCCCAACGCCCTATCGAAAGGCACTGGGTGAGCGCACGCCTTGCAGAGCATTATTGATAGGAACGTACTCTAGGTGTGGGTGGATTCCTCATTTTTTTCTCGGATATCTTGGACTTCTCGGATTAGGTATACGAAGTGCTCTTCATGGTGTGCTGTTGTAGAATGTATAATGTATAGAGGTTTTGCCTAATGTTAGGTCTCTACTAGCTCTCTTCACCTTGACATTTAGTTGCTAAAATTGCCATTTGTTCTCTTCCTTTTTTTATTTAGTCGAGGGTTGGGGTCGGATGCTTCGAGCGGAGCACAAACTCGGTCATGTTTTAAAGCGTTATATGAGGAGGCTAAAAACGCATCGGGGGTAAAATCCAACCTCAGTCCCCAATGCGTCGAGCAGCAACGGTACTTATCAACCACTAGCTGCCCTATCGCCCGGTACTGGACAATTTGAGTATCAAAATGTGATGTCATATTACAAGTAGGTGTTGAATACTCGGGCGACCATTTACAAAACTGCAACTTTAGTTTGTATGAATGCAGTTTCTAAGATAGAGACTGAGTTAATTCGTCGTGGCGTCATGCAGACCAGAGAATATTGTTTTCAAAGTTGCCTCTGACCACACATACCCAGAATGCACTAAATATGATAATTATCGAAATAGAAAAGGGCCTTTTTTTTTTTTTAAAGAAGGGTTGGTCAATTAAGTTGTACGTAACTTGATCAGAATATAGGTAGCAAATTGCCATCCCAGAGCCTAATCTTCTCATCGATGTTGAAAGTGGATCCTGGGAACGATGTTATTGAAGAGTGTAATGGTGGTGAAAAAGGAACGATTCACGCACAGTGCAGTGCGCCCCCAAGAGGTCACCACAGGGGTCATTTTACAAAGCGCACTGTTGGATAAAGGTCGACATAGGTCAACGTGTGGGAAACTGTATTCCCTGCGCACAAGGACTTGAGAGTGTTTACACCGCTTTTGTCGCGTGAGATTTAAGTCAAGTGGGAATTTTGTGTGAAAAAAAGAGTTTATTGACGGGGTTTCCACGTGCTATTTTGTGAATGAGAGGACTACAGTGCGTTCAAAACAATTGGGAACAAAGGCAGGTATAAATCATTGAAGATGACATCCGCACAGGATTTCGACCATGCGTTACAATAATTTTATATGCTATTAAATATACCCGGCATGGAAACCGTCTGCATTTTGTTGGCAACAAAGATAAATATTGTTTCTTATTACACGTGCCATGCAAAGCTTGATATTCAATAATGAAGTGAGATTGACCTTGAAGAAGTCCGTCTTGCACGCCAAACTGCATGTGCACTCTTCAATAATGAAGGACTTTGCAGTTTTACCTTGCTACATTCTAAATTTTAAGTCCTTAGCGTCTGAACTTGCCTTAATTATAGAAATGCCAGACAGGTACTCTTTCTCGCAAACTGCTCTCAATTGGCCCCGGCAATTGGCCAAATTCGCCGTGATTTTCTTAACATGATATTTCCATTTCTCGGTCGCCGGGGCCCCTGATCAACAGGCCGCCCCCGGGCTTGACTGCGCACTGTGATCGGTGATTGAGTACCAGCCGATCCGGCTAATATGCTCTGACGTCTGAAGTCGCACTCCTACTCAGTTGCACGCGCGCGTTTGCCCGCAGGCTATCCATAGAAGAAGAGGACAAAACCATCGAAATGGTCGTGGCGTTATTTTCCTTCATTTAACCCCGAGGATGTGCGTGGATCACCTCCTTCGCTCTCTGTTTGTTTTTGCTCAGTAACCCTGACCGATGCGAAGAGCAGCCATGCTCCTGATTTGAATAAGGAACGATAACAAATGGCCGACTTCGCCCAACATCTGTCTGACTTGGGGGCAAAAATGAAAGATTTCGTTCACATTGTCTGATCGCAGGTGGTTGTCTGGACAACTCTTAAGCGATTTAATGAGATATTTAAGTTTGAGTATTTAATTTCCTCTTAAAAGTTGAGTTAGTAGCTACGATATCAAGAGCTAATCTAATTCATCACAGTTGATGAAGATTGACTTTGCCAGTGGCTGCTGGATTCAAAATAGCCCGTTTGAATTTATTACCATTCTTAATTAAAGCTCTTATCTTAAAACTGCAATCATTTAACTTGACATAAAACGATCTTTATCATTAAGAGAGACCATTTGAAATGATGAATTTCCTTTTGATGAAGATTCCTTTAAGTTGAAAAGTCGTTTTCAATAGCAATTTCGTGTGTGCTACGTTCGTTAAGTTTGCCAAGGTATACCATCGTCATCCGATGTTACTTATATATTTTTTTATATCCAGTGTCAGCGCCCCAACTTGAACATTCAGAAACTGAAGTGAACTTCGTTATTCAAGGTTAAAGGGGTACTTTCCTCCAGGATGGAAATACGCAAGGCAAGGAATAAAATCCAGCGCAAGGGTACGATCCATTTAAATTGAATTTGAGGCTACCATTTTCTACTCTTATTTTAAGTGACGATCTGGTACTTATATCATGCAAAAAGTAAAAAAGTGATGGATAACATCGCAGTTTTGCATAGTAATGAATGGAATACACCTTGGTTATCAATGTCTCATCCAACCACACTGTTAACTGTCATCGGTTTGCTTATGAATGTTAAGACCTTTTCCAGGGCTAAATAGATTGCTGAAGGACATCAAACTGATTAGCTAGCGTGGGCTTCTCGATCATTTAACTATTACCGCAAGCCTGACGAGTTTGGACGCCTTAAATGATTGAGTTATTGCGCCGTGTCACCCGTGATAAAGTACTCTTTTATTAATTGGCAGTTTAAGGTAATGGACACTGCTTGCAAATATTCAAAAATGAAACTGTCAAAAATATCACGAAATATCCTACTTGATTGAAAGTAAATAATAGGGTCACGCTCCTGTGAAATCATTACACCTATTATGATTTCGTTTTCGAGAAAAGAGGAATTAGCATCATATCCTCGCAATGGTTAATACCAAACCATCGCACATCAATGCTATGCTTTGCGTCGAGAATAACAAAGATGGATTTTCGAAATTTTCTCAAAAAGTTCTATGCTGAAATTTCGACATGTGAGTTTTTTAATAACCTGCTTCGGATTTATTGTATTTTTGTTCTTGAATCGGCAACAATGACGTCCATCACCCTTAACAGCACTGCTCGGTAAACAAAATGAGGATGTTAAATCTCTTACATTTGTTTTTTTTATTTTTCAAAATAACCCAAGCCACAACCAAGTCCAGAAATGAAGATCGATCGACTTGTTCATTTCGCATGGTAAGAAATTTGGAAATGTTATATTAAATCAACTTGATGTGAAATGTGAACAAACAGCTATTCATGTCCTCCCTTTAAATGAACAATTGATCCCTGGATTTTCCACACACAAAAAATGAAAGTACAAAGATTCACAGTCGGTCAAGTTTTGCGTATATTTATTTCACTTTTTTGTTTATATAACGTGCCATTGATTGACATTATCAGTAACACTGTTTGGTTTTTGCTTTCCCAACCCAATAATGTATTTTTAAGAAAACGCATTAAATGAGCAAATTAATATACCACGCCCTTTAATATCCTATAAACAACTAATCGCTCTTTTAATAAAAAAAAAATAAAAAAAATATGTCTATTGGATCATTCCATGGATTGATTCTGGACCCAAAGTCGTTCCATTTATTTGAACCGAGGCTGCCGTTTCGTTGACAAAATCTAAGTACTGAGGACAAATTCCAGTGCACATGGCCTAAATGCATCACACATTTAACTCTCAAGCGGTGCCGAAATGCCCTTTGCGCTAAGTGCCTATTTTTTTCAGAGATAATTATTTGTTTTTGAGAGACAAGCTCAGTTAATTAAATTAGGAAAGTACAGTCGCATTACGCATGACGCAGACTGGGCGAATGTCACTAATAAAGTGGTGTCCTTAAAACTGTTCACAGGAAATACTATCGGGGAATTCAACGGTCATATTACGGTTAGCGATGGTGCGATACAAGGTAGTTCTCGAGTAATCAAGTCAAGCCATTGTTTTAATACCTGGAAGAAATAGTTATCATAAGAAGATACTAAACAAGGGAACAGAAAAATACCAGAAAAACAGGGAGGGAAATAGAGAAAACAGAAAATAGGGAAAAAAACAAGAAAAACAGAAAGGCAGAAACCATAAAGCAAGAAAAAAAACCAGAAAACAGAACTCAGTAAACAGGAAACAAAAAAATTACAGCAGAAAACTGAAAACTGAAAACTAAAAACTGAAATTAGAAACCCACCAAACACAAACCATAAACAAAAAACAGACAAAAAGAATCACTTCAAAACCTAATAGCGGGGAGATTCGGGTCGACCCTAAAATTACAAAAGATCTTATTTGTGTACAGAAAATGCGTGTTCATATCCCGTATTGCAACAACAATGAGCTACATTAAACATAATAGTTTGACGTAGTATATGTTCACGTCATGTTAAGTGCATTGAAATTTCATGTCGTTCCCTCATGTCAATTTATTTTAGTT